AAAATAAAAACCGCAGAGGCGATTAAATACCACTGAAAGAAATCTCTATTTCTGGGAAAAAAAGGACAACAATTTCATTTGGGTGCAGCACTGCATGACCGCACAATTGTCATTTAAAGTAATGCAGCGCCATGTGGCATAAAATGGCCTTGTCAGAGAAAAAAAACAAAAAAAAAACATCAAATGGCTGGTATCTTAACTAATCACATGTACAGCACCATGGCAGTTGGAGATCAAACCGCAGCAGCTTCCTTGGCTGTAAGGGCTCGTTCACACTAGGCTGTTTTGCCAACGCTTGCCAAACGCCCCTATAGCTTTTGGCAAGCGTTGGTCCGGTGTTTGCGGAGCGTTATTAACGCTCGGCAAACGCTCCGCAAACGCCGCATGCGCGGTTTAGCGGCGGTTGCTAGGCATTTGCCGAGCGTTAATAACGCCCCACAAACGCCTATAATGCAGTTTGAGTGGTGTTACCGCTCCGCAAACGCCCCGCAACCGCGTCGCAACTGCACCGCAAACGCCGGCCGGGCGTTTGCGGAGCGGCACCATAGAGGAGAATAGGAGGCTTCAAAGCCTCCTGACTCGTCCAGAGGCGTCCGTTTTGCCGCGACGCGACGCAAACGCTCCCGTTAGAACAGCACCATGTGCTGTAATGTGCAGAATTGGCAGAGGCGTTTGGGAAGCGGTAAAAACGCTTACCAAACGCCTCTCTGCCGCCTGCACACAAGGCTAGTGTGAACGTAGCCTAAAGGACAGGAGGGTTTATTTCCGCTTTAACACCCCAGTCACAGTGGGTGCGACTTGGCATGCGACATGCCATGCGACTTGTAAATCATATGCCAAGTCGCACCATATTGTCTGCAATTAAGAGCGGTCAAATTGGTACGGTTCCAACTTGGTCGGAGCCACACCGATTTCTAAAGTAGTACATGTACTACTTTTGGTGTGATTTGCATAGACGTCTGTGTCAGATGTCTTGCAAATTGCACCTGAAATCCACATCTCACCCGACTTTGAAATCATGCGACTTCACTGTTAGTCGCACGATTTCAAAGTCGGGCTTGATGTGACTGGGGGAGGGGGGGTGGAGGGGGTTCAAGGCTGTCAGCAGACTGGTCTCTGCAAATTCAGTATTACCTAAAATGCCTAAAGTTAGAGAGCAACTGAGCATGTACAGAGCAGGGTGAGGCAGTGTATTACTGAATTTTAACAGTATAGGCACTTTTTAATGTTTTACATAGCTATACCTGCAAAAAGGACCTAACAGAACTTAATTTTCTGACTAAAATTCCACTTGATTCATCTAAAACCTGAAGATGTGGGACCAGTTACTCTGTTTTGTAAATTCAGTCCACTGTGGATCATATAGCGGTAGGCAGACAATAAAACTGACATGAAGAGCAAAGTCTAAATGTGTTTTAACGTTTTTTGGTTTATATTGCAGCTAAATAGGCTAATTAACAATGCAGTAGGCAGGTGCTCTCTAAGGAACATTTTCCAAGCAGCAATCTTAGCAGCTGTTGTAGCTAAATCACCATTTTACAGGTTGAGCAAGCATCTGTTTTTGTGTAGAAATGCTGATCTGTCAGAATTGTGTCCGCTTCTTAGCATTAAGACTTGTGAAAAAATCATTAACTTGTTCATGGCGGTAGCTATTTGAGTGGCTGAGAATTTTTTTTTTTTATATTTTTTTTTTTTATAATGGAAGACTCATTGTTTACCTTCACTGATCAAATACCTGGAACATCATTTATTTTTCTAGAACAGTTTTTGCAGAACTTTAACCACCTATGCACCTATGGAGAAACTTTAACCATGTTAATGTAAGTTGAATTGCAGATAAACTGCTAGACACAATTGAAATCCATATAGGGGAGTACTTTTGCCCACTAAAGGATTTCTATTTCTGTCCATTTAGTCTTGAGATTTATAGAACCATGCTATAGAGAACAGCTAGATTGGTGACTTTGCTCACAGCTTCTAAAGACACATCCCTCTCCTTTTTTCATTATTATTATATTATTATTATACAGGATTTATATAGCGCCAACAGTTTGCTCAGCGCTTTACAATATAACGGGAGACAATACAGCAACAATACAGTTCAATACAAGAGGGATTTGAGGGCCCTGCTCCTTGGAGCTTACAATCTAGGAGGGAGGGGCTAGTGGTACAAAAGGTAGTAACTGTGGGGATGGACTGTTTGGAAGAGTAGAAGATTCCAGTATTAGCTGAGGGCAGGATAGGCCTCCCTGAAGAAAGAGGTTTTCAGAGATCGCCAAAAATGAGCAGAGTAGGCAATAGTCTGATAAATTGGGGTAGAGCGTTCCAGAGGATGGGGGAAGCTCTGGAGAAGTCCTGGAGACGAGCATGGGAGGAGGAGACAAGGGAGCTAGAGAGTAGGAGGTCTTGCGGAGAGTACGGTTTGGGTGATATTTAGAGACAAGATCAGTGATGTAATTTGGAGCGGAGTTATAAACGGCTTTATACGTTATTGTTAGCGTTTTGAATTTTATCCGTTGGGCAACGGGAAGCCAGTGGAGGGATTGGCAGAGAGGGGTGGCAGATACAGAGTGGTTAGTAAGGTGGATGAATCTGGCAGAAGCATTCATGATAGACTGAAGAGGGGATAGCCTGCGATGAGGTAGGCCAATGAGGAGGGAGTTACAATAGTCAAGGCAAGCTATAACAAGGGAGTGAATAAGTTGCTTAGTGGTTACCGAGGTTAGGAATGGTTTTCAGCTTATTCTTTGTCAGCACATGTGCAAAGCAGCACCCAAGATATTTGCCTAGTGTTACCCCTGCCTCTCCTAGTCAGAGTGCAGGGATTTCCTATATGCATTTAAAAGCAAATTTTATGATTTTGCAATGGCTACATAACTTCATTAATTGCTGTTTTATTTATATCTGACTGGAGTTTAGCTTTAAAGCAGATTTTAATCTTATATTTTGCTTTCCCTGGTTTCTCTTTTCCCTCTTCTTCATTCTAATGACATTTTTAAATAAAACCTGTTTTCATTAATTATCTTATTTACACCCAGTAAATTTATTGGTGCGTCTTTATGCAATGCAGGCAGATCATGGATGTTGGGAGGGGCCGGCAGTGTGCTGTACATATTTTCCTGAGAATGTTGCAGCACCCTGCCTCAGTACTTCTGTCAAGAGCCCTCTGCCCTATTGCAAGCAGTGAGCTGGTTCTTGGGAGGAGTTATGAAAATATCAAAATGTCTTGATCGGTGTCCGTCTGAGGAGTGGGTGTTCCTGGACAGACTGCATTTGCATGCAGGCTGCCCTAGGTAACACATGTGATTCTTAGTCTCCATGTTTGCACAGACTGAAATCCAGTAAATGAAAAGGTTTGGGTCAGCGGTGGGGAGGAAAGAACTAGATGATACTGGACATCCTCCAGCTATGAAATGAGGCAAGTTAGGCTACTTTCACACTGATCTGCCGCAAAAAAACGGTTTTACCGCGTTTTTACCGGAGTTTTCTGACCGTCTTTAAAGGACACATGACTTAAAAACTGCACCAAAAACGCTTCTCAGCTACGTTTTGAGGTGTTTTTTTAGGCGTTTTCCATTGATTTCAATGGGAAGAGGCATTTTTGGGGCATTTTTTTTAACTCACCAAACATGCTTTAAAGATGCTGCAAGCAGGAGGTTTTTACACCACACCGCAAACGCAACGTCTCAGTGTGAAAACATACATAGATATACATTCACATACATAGTGAAGTGTTTTTCTGGAGCTTTTCAGGCACTTTTTTTAACGCACAAACGCTTCAAAAACTTCTCAGTGTGAAAGTAGGCTTACATTTAAGTACAAGGGAGAAGCCTATTCAGCTGTGCAAGACAGAGGACTTGTTCACACCATGTCTGTTGTGCTGTGTTTTTCTGCAAACCACTGCACATGCATAGTGTGAACAGGGCTCATACAAAGCAATTGTTCCCTATGTACCCTGTTCATACCACATATGTGCGATACTGTGTAGAAAAATACAGCGCAACCCGACATGATGCAAATAAGCCCTTAAATAAGCATGGAGTTCAATTTTAAGCTTTTCAAGTTCAGACACTTTCACCCCCTTCCAGTCCAGGCCAATTTTCAAATTTCAGCGCTGTCACATTTTGAATAACAATTGCGCGGTCATGCAACACTGTACCCAAATGAAATTTGTAGCATTTTTTTGAGACAGATAAAACTTTCTTTTGGTATTCATTCACCACTGGAATTTTTTATTTTTTTGCTATATAAATGAAAAAAGACCAAAAATGTTTTTTAAAAAAGCATTTTTCTTAGAAAATCTTGCAAATAAATAATCTTTCTTCATAAATCTTGGCCAAAATGTATTTAGCTACCTTTTTGTAAAAAAAAAAAATAACCCACATCAGTTTATAAAAAAAGAATTATAATTTTTCAAAGAATTTTTATATTTGTTTTTTTTTTTACATACTGTCACCCTAGCAGTACAGTGTCAAAGTACTGCTAGGGTGACTGCTTGAGGGGGTGATGAACATTTGTTTTTTTACACTGATTGCTTTTACACCTATAAAGGCTGTAAAATCAATCATTTCTCCTTCTCTCTGGGTGCATTCCTGCCGCCATTGAGAAATACTGTGAGACCTGTAATTGGTTACAGCTCATCACATGGTACAAGGCTGTTGTAAATGTACCATGTGACCTCTGTGATCATTCACAGAAGTGACATCTTGTTTGCTACTATTCATGTGATCACTGACAGGCCATGCACTGATGACATGAATTGGGACCTCACACATTGGTCCCATACAGCGATCTGTGTTCCATTGTGTTCGTTGGCCACAGCAGGCACAGGTTGTGGCGCTGCGTGCTCCCAGGGAGTGCACACAGGCAATGCTCCCATCCGGCCGTTTATAGGCAAGGGCCGGTTGGGAGGAGGTTAAAGGTTTTTTCAGATGATGTCTGTAATAACTCTGTCCTATTCTGTGTTTCAGAAAGTCTTTCACCTATTTACATTATTTCAGGGCAAGACCCTCTTGACTGAAAATGGAAGAAAAAAGGAAAAGGATATGGTGACAAAGGAGATTGAAAAGCTCAGGAGCTCCATCCAGATACTGTGTCGCAGTGCTCTGCCACTCGGCAAAATTATGGATTACATCCAGGAGGACATGGACACAATGAAGAATGAGTTGCAGATGTGGAAAAAAGAAAACGGTGAACATGCAGAGGTTCTGCTACGGGAGCAGAGGTATTTATCATACTCCTTGGCTGTACTGTGTATGCTCACATCTAATATCAATCATACACCATGTGATTCTTGGTAGTTACAGTATACAAATAATGAATTTAGTTGCATTGTACGTCTAGTACTGGTGCGTGCTGACCATTTTGCATCATATCAAGAAATGAAGCGTTGCATTAAAGTGCAGCTAAATCTCATTATTGCAGACTCGTTATTGCAGAAGAGACACTTAATGTCTCTTCTGTAATAAAATAGACTTACCTGTCTGTTTGCAATTCCCTGTAGAATGTACACCACTGTGTGTATGCGCATCTCAGTTTACATTCTGGTACCCTGCTTGTCTGATGGGATGACTGCACTCCTGTGCATGCACAGGAGCGACATTATCCTGCTCCAGCCAATCAAGACAGCTAAAGACTGGCACCTGGAAAAAGAGGGGTAGAAGATGCTGGTGCTGTCAAGGATCTGGCAGACATCAGACAGTTGGAGCTAAGGTAAATATTTTTGTTTTTAGATCTGCTTTGACCACTTGCTGTCCATCCTATATCAGATTTACTGCTAATGGGCGGACGTTCTGTGCAAAATCACTTATATAAATGTGATTTTGCACTTCTGCCACTGGGGGGCGAGCGCCTGCTGCCGGAGCACCGCTTCTGCTGTCATTGGACACAACAGAAGTCAATCAACAGGTGTCGGCCAATTGATGAGCGCTGGCACCTGTTGATAGCTGGGGGGACTGACATAATATAGCTCTGCCTATGTCAACGGGTATCTGCTAGGTTTTAGTCAGAGAATAAAATCTAGCAGATTGCCTAATAAAAACAGCACATAGTAAACACATAAACACTGGATAGGCACACAATTAACCCTTTGATCACACTATATTCCCAGCCAGTGTCATTAATACAGTGACCATGTATATTTTTAGCACTGATCACTGTATTAGTGTCACTGATTCCCACAAAGTGTCAGTGTCAGACTATCCGCCACAATATTGCAGTTCCGCTCTAAGTCGCTGATCGCCGCCATCATTGCCAGTATATAAAAAAAAATTCTAGTATATATACCGCCATTTGTAGACGCTATAATGTTTGCGCAAACCAATCAATATACGCTTATTGGGATTTTTTTTTTTACCAAAAATACATAGCTGAAAACATTTTGGCCTAAATTTATGAAGAAATTTGATTTTCTACATTTTTTTATTGGATATGTTTTATAGCAGAAAGTAAAAAATATATATATTTTAAAGTGTTGGTATTTTTTTATTTATAGAGCAAAAAATAAAAAACCGAGAGGTGATCAAATACCACTAAAAGAAAGCTCTATTTGTGGGAAGAAAACAGCGTTGCATGACTGCGCAATTGTCAGTTAAAGTAACGCAGTGCTGTATCGCATGCCTGGTCACGAAGTGGGTAAATCTTCTGGAGGTCAAGTGGTTAATGCAGGACAGAAAAAAAATCCCTGTAATGGAGCCACTGATAGAGCCAAGAACCCTTGTCAGTGTTATAGTGCTAACTTTTCCCTATTGTATCCACAAAACTGAAAAAAACTATTTCTTTCTCGTCCATTCGGGTACACAAGAATTCGGATAATATTTGGTTATAGGTTATAGATATGGACCCTGGCAAATAGAAAAATTGCATGCATCCATGTAAACCCTCCTCTATACCTCATGTCTCAGTTTTTTGGTGTTCTAGTGTCCTAGGAGTTTGCATGGCTTTTCTTCAACTCTGCTTAGAAATGTCTGTAGATTCAAACCAGATGCAATGGGATTGCTTTGGGCTGCAATCCAGCACAGTCCCACTGCATGACAAGGCAAAATGCCTGGTCTTCTGTCTGCCGATTTTACACTACTGCATTGTAGTGGTGTGTTGGTGGTGTGTTCTGAAAAAAGTACTGTATGTAGTACCTTTTTTTTAGCATAGTGGAAGGCAACCCACCACTTTGCACTGTGCAGTGGCCTGTTGAACTGTGTGACATTTGAATAAAGTTAATTTAAAAAAAAAAGTGAACAGTGCAATGCACAGAGATTGGCACACCTGTACTGCAGTGACTCTGCCAGACTACACCGTAACCAGGGGCTGTTGTGAATAAGGCCCCTTTCACACAGGGCAGATTTTGTGCAGATTCCATTCTGATCAGCAGGGGATTTCTGCAGAGTGGACATGGAGAGAGCCCACTTTGCTCTATGGGCAGCCCAGCATAAATGGACTCCACTTTCTGCTTACACCCGACTACCCTCCGATCCGATCTGCCTAAACGTAGGAGGACAGATCCTGATCGGCCTGGTGGTAAGCAGGTGTAAACGGACACAAGTCCGTTTACACTTATCTTGTCCGTAGGGATGCAAGGACCATCTGACCATGTCTGCATAAAATACTGACCGGCAGACCTGATTGGATGGACTGTGTGAAAAAGGCCTAAATGTTTTTTGCTTTCTAGATATTTCCTCTGTGACTTCAGTCAAGATTCCTTGCTACACAGCTGCTTCAAATGGTTTCTAATATAGCAGCTCTCTAAATCTGCATTTCCTCAGCCTTGATTTGGAGATTGTACCCGGACCCAGCTGGCCTGGAAATGCAGAGCTTGCCTGAAATTTCACTTTTGGGCATTTGGCTCTGAATTGTGGTGCTTTTCAGACTTAAGTGTAGTGGTAGTTTGCCATAGAGCACTTTCCAGGTCCATAGCCATGGCACAACTCCAAGTGTGTACTTTAATATTCGCTTTGTGAGTAAGGCTCGTTGGGCTAAAGCATAGGGAGCCACCTCGCTGTTCACATGGCCTAATGCTTTTCCAGTTTCCTACCACCGCCAGTTTTACTGTGGTAAGGAGTAGGGCTGAGGGACCAAGCACTGATGTCATCCACTGGGTGGAATGACGTGGGTGCTCTGGAAATGGCAAGGCTTAGATTGAACACTGTGTGACTTGAAGCAAGAGGTTGCCTGCACATTTCATGAATAGGGACAAGCAAACTGAACTAATACATGGACGTAGAGGAATAGATCAGGCATGGCACTACAAACTGCAGCCGTAACATGTGAGCCCATCATTACAAAGTAAGGAAACATCACAGGGAAGATATCTACTTTAATACCTAGCTGAAACAACAAAAACATTTGAACATCTACAATGTAATTACCCGTCAAGGGACATTGTTTTCTACCCTGTAGTTGACATATTGATTAGCAACGCCAGGCATGGCCAGAGTAAGCTCCTGCCTTAGCATAGCAGTTCTGCGGAGGGGTTGGAGGAATCTCACCTTTCTTCTTCATCTACTTCAGCAGTAGGTACTCGCAGGTCTTTACAGCCTGACTGCCACTCTGCCCCTAGAGCAGAGGTCAGTTGACCCCTCTCAAAAGCCTTTTGCATGTCACCAAGCAAGGATGCCCTTTATCCCCACTGTTATTTACCTTGGCGGTAAAACCACTACCCATATTAGACAAGATGCTTTAATCCAGGTTCTTACTCAAGGAAAATAAGTCTGTATATGTGGATGATATCCTTCTATATTTGAATCATCTGGGACAGTCTCTTCCCTACCCAGTCAATGAGTTTGCAACATATTCAGGGTTGCAAAACTAACTGGTTCAAGTACAGGCTATTACAAATTGATCATTTACCTTTTATTGCTGAACAGATGTAATTTTTGTTTACAGCAAGTTAGTTTTCTTAAATATTTTGGATTTGTAGTCTAAAGACTCTGCATATTGTGTAAAACTGAACCTAGAACCTTTGATCCCATTGACCAAAGCTGGATGCCAAGCGTGGACCAGGCTTTCTGTGGGGGTGATCAATAAGATAGGACCTCCTAAGATTATCTTACTCTGTAAAATTCTCCACATCCTCTGGCACTCTCCAACATATATTTCACTTAAATATTTCAAACTCTTGGAATCTATGTTAAAACCTTTTGTTTGAAGAAACAGCTGACAAGCTTAAAAGGGCAATTTTCACGAACCTACTAGATAATGGTGGATTGGCTGTACCTGACTTTGCCCTTTTTAACTTTGCGCCTCAACTTTCTGAACGTCATTGGGTCATGGGGGGACAAGTTCACTTCCCTACTGTAGTTCAGGGACTACCTGACATTTATGTTGCAGACTGTGACCTCACTGTAGCTAGAGAAGCCAGAAATATACCTTCCAGCTGCAAAAAGCAAAATGGTCTCCTGATTCAGGCAAGCAGGTTACCATGGTGTCGGACTTAGCACCTATCATATTGAAAACATATCTGTACCTCATAAACACATGCCTCTCTGGCAAAATGCAGACCTTGCTCGAGGTCCAACAAAGCCCTGACTCTTTGGAATTGATGGGTTATTACATATCTTCACTAGATTGTAGGTGATGGGCAGATGAAGTCTCTTCATCAGCTGTAAGAGGATTTTAGCCTCCCCAATAATATGCTATACTGTTATTTTCAATTGATACATGTGGCCAATGCCCATTTTCAGACACATCTAGTAGACATCCTTGATCACTTGGTGATCCCTACTATATATGCTACCTCCTCCCAAAAACTTATACCCCACCTCTACTGTTTTCTATTTACTCTAAAGGCCAGAGCTCTTGCATTTCCAAGAAAACATCCTGGGAAACAGATATGGGTCTAATTAAAGAGGAGGAATGGGAGGAAGCATTAAAGGTTTTTGAAATAGTCTCTTCCAAAATGTCAGATAGACTTACAGACTTGTACATCCTCCACAGAACATATTTAACACCAGTACTTCTTTCTAAATGTGATCCTTTTCACAAATCGTTATGTCCAAAATATCAGGCACAGGTACTATTACATGCTTTGGGACTGTCAGATTATCTGAGCATACTGTAAACAAGTGGTTCAATTCCTACATGATATAATTGGGTTGCCTACTTCACTTGACCCCCAAAACTGTGTCTCTTGGGTATATTGGGAAGCTTGGAACTTAAAAGATATGACATGACCTTTCTTCTAGAGACGTTGTTCAAGGCAAAAAAGGTGATTGCCAAAAAATGGATGTCCACACTGGATGTCACAATGGATGTCCAACAATAGCACAATGGCTGGCAGATGTTAATGTCAATATTCTATATAAAAATGACCCTATACTTTCAGGGGCTGCTCAGCCAAATTTAATAAAATACGTGACAGATGGTTAGACCATGGCTTTATATGTGTGTACTCCGAGTTGTAGTCCACACCCCTTTCTACATTAGATTGAGCGAATGTCCACTTTCTGCAGTTTCCACGTTTTTATATAACCCAAGTAATCAACAAAGATTACCTATCAAGAGGTGCCAACATCAGACTCCCATCTAGTGCACAGTAATGATGGTCCCAGATGTTACACAGACTGAGATCACGTGGACATGTATATACTTCTTTCTCCTTCAAAGTTTTTTTTTATCCAATGTTTCCTTTATTGCTGGTTGTGTCATTTTTATAATAGGCTCTGGCTGGTACCACAATCAAGTCAAATTCACCTATTTTTTGTAATATGTGTATTATAACACTGTACAGCTGAGCATCCTTTATATGTGGAATATTTGCACAGACAAGAATGTAACCTGTGTGATACACAATTGCTGTCTCCCATGTCTCCACTAGGGTACTTTAGCAGTTGTATAAACAAACACTACAACTGTTCCAAAGAAAAGCCTCTAGCATGATGGTGCATATACAATTCTAAAGTGGTGAGCTAATTGTGTGCCTAGACAGGTCATGGGGTGATTTGCCTCTCCAGCAATTCAGTGCAGAGGACACCCAATTTAGCCCATGGGCTAACCCCTTTTTCAGTGCTTCCTCACAATCTCTTCTGTGCTCCTGCACAAAATGCAAATTCCCATGACTCTGGATTCCTCAATTCCTGGAACCCCTTGCCACTGTCCATATGGGGACTCAGGTTTTGGGTTGTACTCTATCTAGACACTCATTCCTTTCCTCAGAAGAATAGTCTGTCATTGCATTCTATACTCCCCTTGTGGTACTTGGTACCCCTCTGCATTTTTCTAATCCAGAAGGACTAGTTCTGGCTGTATGTTTTATATAAACATGGACCTGGTCCTTCAGCGTTCTTCAAACACACCTGCAACCTCTGAGAGCATGAGTCCTTTGTGTTCACCCTGGTGCCCTTTCCTGGCCCTTTTCCTTGCACAGCTCCCTTTTAGAAGGGACTGGGACTAACACCTACAAGACTCGACTGGATGGGGTCTTGCAGGTTTCTATCTATGGTAACTACCTGTCACCAACTCTCAGGCTGTTCGGTCAAAACTCGCACTAAAATGGTCAACACAGTATGTGCCAATGGACCTTTCATCAACAGTAATGAAGTTTACCTCTTATCTTTTGTAAGGGGTGTGTAGATAGATGGGGTAACCTCCCTTTCAGGATGGTCTCCTCCTTTCTGTTTATTTTTTGATCCTTATCAGTCCCCCCTCTCTCCCCAAGCAGGTTCTTCTGTTAGGCCCAAGAGACACCGCCAGGGGCTAAAATGCTTGTTCTTGTGTTCATCCTCCTTTTCTCATGGTGCCCTCTACCATCAGTCTGGGGTTGCAGTATATCTTTCATCTCTGCCTACCCTTGTAGAGGTGTCTCTCATGAACTCTACTTCTTACTGTCAGGCTGAGTTTGTGAGGTTGTACCCTTGAGTTCTCTACCCAGCTCAGGGGGCACTTTGCAATCCTTATGGGCTTCTGTGCTGCAATGATTCCAAAAATTATTTTTCTATCCCTTTAAGCAATATTGGCTGACTGACTAGGCAGCCTCCTTCTTCTGCACCAAGTTTTGTGAATGGGCAGAGGAGATGCTGTCAGTCAACTCTTCCTGCCCCATTCACAGAATGCAATTCATTATGTGATAGTAAGATGAGTTCTATGAATGGAGAGGGAGCGGGCAACTTATTTAGTAGCAGGAGCATCTGTTAACCTTCACAGTGCCAGAAGATATCCACTCAGGGTTTTATCCTGCTGTGAAGGAGTAATTGCAGAAAGCGTTTTATCAAAAGCAACCACCTGCAGGTGACCGGATACCTACTAATACACATACCAAATGTGTTTGGTTTTTGACTTAACAACCTCTTGCTGGTTCAGGCTCAGTGTTCTTTTGGGTGGAGTCATTCCCTTCTGGCGGTGTGCTCCTCTATCCTGGTCTTGAGCATAAGGTTGTTGGCAGCTTCTCCTGTCTTGCAAGGGGCTTCCGCTAATCTGGTTCATATGCGGACATTGGTACTTTAGGTAGTTGGTGAGTCACCAGTCCCTTTGGGCCTGTTAGTGACTACAGGCCCGGGCATTTTAGACTGAGCAGTCCTGAGCCCGGTGGCCCTTCCCTTGCAGGCTGGTAGCAGAACGCCAGGGCCTGGTCACAAGTGTGACCTTTGCGACCCTGGTAGTTCCGCCACTTGTGTCAGTAGTTTTTTTATACCAATTTTTTACCATTATATTTTATTTTGTTTACAATTTTATTTTTTATTATTTTATTTACATTTCTTTTAGGAGCCACGTTGGAAGGCTTTGGTGAGATATCAGTGGTTTAAACAGACCCCTGATATCTCACCTTTGAGACAGAGAAAAGAGGACACAGCCCTCAATCTCCATCTCTTTCTCTGCAGCCTCAGCTGCACAGAATGAATGGACAGGAATAACTCTGTACAGAGCTTCCTATTCATTCATAAACGGAAGTATAGCAAACACAGTTTACTATGCTTCAGTTATGAATGGACAAAGTCAGTGATTGGTACTGATCACTAGCTGTCCATTCAGACAAGGAAGGGACCAGTAAATTACATATTTATTGGCCCCTTCCCTGCTTTCCATCCTGACAGATCACTTGCAGCAGCCAACATTAGAGGGGAGTGAGGAACCCCTCAGCGCTGTGGGGGGGGGGCCAGGAAAGAGCATGCAGGGACCCAGAGAGAGCACAGATGGACCAGGGAGAGAGGACAGGGGCCTGGGGGCAGCAGAAAGAAGATGGATAGGATGGGCAGCAGGGCGGCATATAAATAAACCAATCCATCCATTTCTCTCCTGCAGCAGATGAATGCCTGGGAGGAGGAGGAGAAGGCGGCTTTCAGCGGTGGTAAGAGGGAGAAATGGATGGATGGGTTCCTCTATATGCGGCCACTCCTATCCAAGCGGACCTGATAATGCCTGGTGTGCTCTATGGCCAGTCCTGACCTGCTGCTGTCCATCCCATCCATTTCTTGGAGTCCCTTAAGGGAAAAGTCCCCAACCTTCTATGTTTTTGCTCTTGCCCTTGGTACTGCTTTTCCACAAAATTGAGGTATGCTAGGTAGTGTAGGGGTTACAGTTTTTTCTGATTGCTGGTGTCTAAACCTTTTATAGGCGGCAGTATAAAAACTATAACAATCTGTGTCCCTCAATAGACTGCAAAAAATAGACTCGCTAAGTACAAAACTTAATTATTTGATTGACCGATACTTTAACTTATGTAGAGATAGAGGTTGACTAGCTTTTCTCTAGAGAGAAATGATTAATCTTTACAGCCAAACACACTTTTATTGAGAACTGTCTGAGTTTGCATACTGGCTAGTGATCTATGTGTGTGTGTAAAATATACACTTTTTAAGCCTACAGCTGCAGTTTTTATAAAATGCATGTGACCATGTTATTTTCTCTTTCCTCAGCATCACTGACTCAGCTGTGGAACCTCTCAAGGCTGAACTTGGCGAGCTTGAGCAACTTATCAAAGAACAACATGATAGAATCTGCACAGTGAAAGGGAACATACTACGAAATGAAGAGAAAATCCAGAAGATGGTTCAGAGCATGAGTGGTTCTAATAGAGACTGAATCATGCAGTGATATACCAGCAGTGCATATCTTTGTGGCACAAATTACACTATTCTCTAGGTCCAGTACTTTAAACCTATTTATTCAGTTACTATTCAGGGTGCGTCTGTGTATTGTAATACATTCCATTGGAGGTTTGTGCGTTTTGTTAAGGAAGCAACTTCTGCTTTACAGAGCAATGCTAGTCATTAGCTGAGCTTCATAAGTGAATATCATACTCTCTTGCTGGAGGGCCAGCCTTTTCTTCATAGGGATTTTTCTGGAGAAACCAGTTATCTTTTGATCAGTGCATATCCTATAGAGAGGTCATACAAACCTATGTTTTTTTTTTTTTTATTCTGCCCTGCAAGGTTCTGGTGTTATATGGTCTAGATTATAGGTCAGATTCATGCAGGACTTGCATTATATGAGTCATGATGGAATAACTGTGTAACCATTAGGAATTCCTATAGCACCAGTTAAGGAACTTTGTAATTGAGCTTAAAGTGTTCACCTTTTCAGAAAAAATTTAAAGGTGAACTAACATCATACATTCACCCAGTACATGCTGTACTTACCTCTGGTGATGCTGAGCTGTCAATGCCCATGCAGCCAGTCCAGGGATTTGAAATAACATTGAGATACCATCTATTAAAATATAAAACACAAATAAATGTATTAACAAACCAAGGTGAGTATCAGACAAATATAAAAAATGAAGCTAAAGAACACTTCAACAATAAGTTTGAACTCTGAATAGGTATGAACGACAACACATTGCAGAACCACATGCTGAGGGGTTTACCCTCTTCTTCAGAGCGATCTGCCTGAACTCTAGGATGTGTTTAAATGCTAGTATAGATTGGTAATGGGCCACACCCCTGTGTGGTCTCCCTTCAGCAAAAATTCTAGTTACATTGTAAACATTAGTGGCACACACACAATAGCCACACTATAGGTATACATTAAATCAAAGTGTATACAATAAAAAAAAGTTGAAAATCAGAAAAATAAATCATTACAAAATGCATAAATTCAGAGCACATTATATCACCAGGGAGCAGCAGTCAGACATACCTCAAATCTCCAAAAAGTGTCAGCAAGAAATATCTGCAGAAAATTTTTAAAATAAATAATAGGACAATAATGTATGTTCCCCACTAAGCCCCATGTATGTGTATCTCAGCAGACCATAGCGGCTGGTGTTTCTAGTATAAGGTAGCAGTAGCATCCTGCTCTTCTTACCTATACTTTGCTTAATCATATCTCCAAGCTGGAGAAAAGTGTAGATGACATAGGCTACCTAAATATGGCCACCAGTGCTAGTGGAGCACATGCCAGGCTCCTGTGGAGGAAATTACTGCACTGTGGAGCGCACAAACGCCCCTTACAGTGACACAGGTCCAGACCACGTGCTGCCTCCAGGTGTGGTGTCAAATGAATCGAGCAGGGATAACCTCTAGACCATTGCTACCGAACAGTGAGGGATATCATTTACTAAATCTTGCATGTCACCCCACTAAATACATACTAAATAAATAAACTAAATTGTTGTTGATAAGCATAGTAAAAATGAATAAACCTTTTTTCTAAAATATCTCACCGCTGTCCCCAAGTGAATCAATCAAGTCAATAAGGGGTTCAAATAAAACAAAAAAGTTTTGTTGCCATACTGTATTAATATAGCATGATATAATACTAAAACACACTAAAAATACTGGTTCTGCAACGTGATGTCGCTGATATCTACCCAAAGTCACAGTTCAAGCTTATTGCGGTCTTTGGTTTTATTTACATATTAGCCCAATACTCCCCTTGGGTTAGAAGTACATTTGTGTTTTATATTTTATTAAATAGTATCTTTTTTTTTTTTCTTCTCCAGTTTTTTTAGGATCCCCCCATATTCAAAAAGGGCAGCAAGACCTGGGGTTTACCTGAGTAACCATGAGCTGTTGAAGTGAGCAAGGATTCCAGCTGTGTTAGGACAATTTTGTGCATCCATCTGTCTGCTTACACCTAAGCACAGAAGTGATTTTTGGTCTGTACATTGAAAAGTAATTTGAGCCGGAAGGTACAGATTTTGTCTGCTGCACAGTACGCACAAATGAGTGGAGAGTGTATGAGGTTTTTAGACTAGGAATTTTTCTTTGTTTATCCAGCAGTACATTCATAACTTTGCTTTCTTCACTTGGATAAAAGCCTGAGCACTTTCTAAGCTAAAAGCCATTTTCTGCAGTAGGGCCCTAGTCTGATGTGACTGTGTCTGTTTCACACTGGTAGCAGCCTGTTATCACATTCTGCACACTCAGGGCTTGTTCATACTAAAAGGTCCCATTCAGACTGTTGCATTTGTTAAGGCAGTCCATTTATTTTGAATGGGTTGAATACACACCTTACTGCACTAGAAAATGCACCTGACCCTCTTTTTGTTTTAAGTATTTAGTGCTGACGTGCAGGTGCGTTGCCTACTGCCCATGTGATGGGGTTTGATTAAAAATGAATGACAGTGCACCATGCTTCACGATTTACAATGCACATTTTACCATACACTACCACAATGCAAAGATTTAAGTGTGCCCTGTGAGCTTTCTCTTGCATTTCCCAGGGCAGTTAAAAAATGCATGGACATAAGAAATCAATTTTTACTAGGACCCATTTACAACAGTGCACCATGCTTTGATCTGCACTTTCCCAATAATATCAGCAGAAAAGGGGCCTTCGCAATGCCTGTAATTTGCATCCAAATATGCATTAACATGTGCTAAAACACGCGTGCCTGGTGTGAACAAGCCTTTAGTACTGATCTCCAATCTGCCATTTCATTATCATGTATCCATTCTAGATTTCTATACAAACTGCTGCTAACAGAAGATTTTGTTTTGCACAGGTGAGTGATCACTACCAGGCTGTACGGACACAGATTTTATAAATTGTATTGTGTACAAATTATTTATATACATAGTAATCACATGACAAAATTTGTGTGAACATTTTGTAAAACTCAAAAGCGTTACATTCTATCAGATTGTTTTAATTTTTGCTATAAAATCTATCCAAACAGACAGTTTATTTGTGTATATTTGCATGTGGCGGGGTTTCCTGATTTATAGTGGGGTTAGACTGGGTTGCTCTGTTGTTGAGGATTTAAAGTGGAACTTTTTTGTTAGAAAATTAACTTCAGGATGGCCCCTTTTGTAGGTATAGCTATGTAAAGCATTGAAAATAAGTGCCTATACGGTTTTAACACCTTCTCTCCCAGCCTATAGCAGATTTACAGCTGGCAGGGCGTTCCTCCTGAGTGGACATCATATGACGTGCTCTCAGAAGGCGCCACACGCAGGGCCTCGCAGCGGCGTGATTTGTCACTGGCTGTGTCCACACATGACTGCTCACTACACCGGCCTGCTGCCAGTGTCATGTTTTCTGCTGTGAATGGTCACAGCGATCACATAACAATTGTAAACAATGGATGGCTTCCTTTCATGCCATTCATTGTATACAATGGTGGAGTTAGCTGTGATTGGTCACAGCGATCACATGGTACAGACAGAGCCAATCACAGCCCATCTGTACCATGTGATTTAGCTTTGGCTAATCACTAGACAAAAGACACTGGATGAATTAATTTCATTCAGTAAAAATGTTTGATTCTATCAATGAAATTCTTTGGTATAAGCAATCATAATAACAAAAAAAAAATCCTGATCACTTCCCTAGAGTAGTAGTGTTACTATGATAACACTGTATTGCTCTGGTCCAAATTTGTTGGAAAAAAAAGCATAAAAAAAAAATTAATGTAAGAAAAACTAAAACAAAATTGAAAAAAGTCACCAGTCTGTGTCCCTGATCACCGCCACACCAGTTATGATCATGCTGTACTGGACTGGTGACAATATTTAAAAAAAATGTGAATATTTTTAATTTGCAGAAAAATTACAACTTAACTCTCCATGCTTCTTAGTAAATACCCTGGACTGTCTATTGTCCAAAAAGGGGTCATTTGGGGGATATTTGTACTATCCTGAATTTTTTGGACCTCAAGAAATGAGCTAGACCATTAGTACATCAGGATTGATCGATCTTCGTTTACATATAAATAAATATATATATTATCATAGTTTGAGGACTCTGACTTTCCTGTAGATTACATAATATACACCGATTTGGGTTATTTTCACTAAAGAAATGTAGAAGAATATATATTGATCTAAATTTATAAAGAAAGGTTATTTACTTGCAAAATTTTATAACAGAAATGAAGAAAAATGCCTTTTTTTTTGTTTCAAAATTTCTGATCTTTTTTTTTTTTTAACAAAAAATAAAAAACTCAATGGTGATTAAATACCACCAAAAGGAAGCTCTATTCATGTGGGAAAAAAAGATAAAAATTTCTTATGGTTACAGTGTTGCATGACCACGCAATTGTCATTCAAAATACGAGTGTTGTTAGCTGAAAATTGGCCTAGGCAGGAAGGGGGGTAAAAGTGCCCTGTATTGAAGTGGTTAAAATGCAGTAAAACACTGTCTCACCCTGCACTGCACATGCTCAGTCTATTTTTTTTTTTTTTTTTTTTGCATTGTTCCAAAAATTTAGAGGCTGATCTGCTGACAGCCTAAAGATTTACTGCTGCTCTGGGCTTCAGCAAAATGGCAATCTCTGGCAAGAAGAAACAAAAACAATGCTGCAGACAGTTTACAGCACACACAGGTTTTTGGTAGCATAATTATTAATGTGGACTGTATGTTCCTTGCTAAAGAACATTGTTTTTTTTAATTAAGTTGTTATGGGAAGTTCTGCTTTAAATTTCTCAATTTTTTTTTTTTTGTTTGCTTGTTTGTTTTTTACACTTTGCTCATCTGCACCAGCTGATTATTATGGTTGTAGAGATGAGCAGCTGGATCAGGGCGGACTGCAGTTATTCTACACTCACTGGCCACTTTTTTGGGTTTTTTTTTTTCTAGGTACACCTGTTCAATTGCTTGATAACACAAATTGCTAATCACATGGCAGCAACTCAATG